GGGGGCGGAGCCCTTACAATTGTATGAAGTGTGTTCAACATGGTTTCATGTGTGATGTCATAGTGTGGCGTGCCTCAAGATGTCCAGAGACTGATGAAAAGCTATTGATTTTGTATTTGGACTACTCCTTTCATTTTGAGACACATGTTGGCCGGTGGTCTTTGCACTTATCGGGGCGCTCCACCATTCTCTTCCACTACCCCTGAGCGCAGCTCCCACTCGGCAGATGGCCGCACAAGCCCAGACAAACGTCCGCAGCAGGCGGCCCGCAGTGGCATCATGGCTAAGCCACCACATTCTTCCAGCAGGGGGGGATCGCTGCAACAAGAGACCTCTCAGGAGCGCAGCAACGTGAAAAACACCTACAGTACTATATATCATGTCTGCAATTCACGTAAGCCGGAAGCCTGTGATCACGTAAACAAGCTGTTGCCACATCTGTCAGCATGCTGGATGTTGAGCGGTTTTGTGAAACCCACCCACCCTAGTGGCCTCTATCTGAAGGCCCTCATCACCTGGAGTGGAGCACCCAGCAACTGACCAGCAACATTGAGTTTCAGCAACATGAGAATCCTGCAATGCTGTGCCTCAGAATGCTGTCCACATGCTCTACGAATCCATGCGAATCCACAGTGTGCCCACCTGTGCCCCAGCACTTTGGCACGGGCGCAGACAGTGCCAGGTCCAAAGGCGCAGTTGCCATGGCTTGGCCGGGAAGCAACTCATTCTGAACCCCGCCCTGGCAGAGCTCGAAACCCCATCTCTCCAAGATGCTTATCTTCTGGCCGCTCCGATGCCAAGTCTCAAAGGCTGAAGTCTGCTACCTTTGGAGTTACACTTGCTGCTCTATGGTGTGCTGTAGCCTTGAGCATCTGGAGCCCGTTGCTTGCACATGCGACGCTGCCAGCACAGCCAGCTTCCCACCGTCCTTCATGCCAGGTCCAGCCTCGGCGTCTCGGCGGGGCGGGTGACGTCCAGATGGGTTCAATCCGAAAGCCACTTGAGACACACATCGCTACATTACTAGGTTGGAGGCCATCGCCACTAGGTGGGAGACCATGCTATTGGAATAAAATGTTTGAACGGTTGAATCGATCGAGGAAGCTCCGCAAACAAATGGACTGGACAGGACTCACCATGCGCATGGACTGGAGGGTTCCTCTTCCGTGGGATCTGCGCCCCCACGGTGGGAAAGGCATCCTGGAATTGGGGGAAATGAAAAGGTATGTTCACAAGATGCAAAGTCACACAATTCATGTATCAATATGTATCAATCTATATTAGAAAACCCACATTCCAAAGACCCACATTAGAAATCTTCGACCCGGCTTCCTGCAACCATCGAGACAAGACATCGACATCGCTGTGTCCGAGACTGGACTCGGAGGGGCGCCTCTTTTGTGCGATGCAGGCAGCTTCGGGCTCGCTGCTCTTGGAGCAAACCACTGCGGAGCTAGCCGCGCAAAGCCGTCCTCCACTTCAAACCCCCTTGAGCTGCAAGGGTTCAGTTGGATGGGCACAACCTTGGTAATACCAAAACATCCCAGGCTTGGATCAATCCCCGACAAGTTCAGAGAAAAGAATCCCTTCTGCTCAAACGGGTGTGTCCACGGGAGCCATCTCTCTGCGTCAAACGGTTGCTGTACAAACAGTGACGCATCGATCCATGGCACGAAACCACAGCTAAACAGGGTCCAACACGTCGCCCGTGCATGGGTGGACCCGGAACATCTTTGGAACTCCCACACGGGACCCGAGTGAATCCATTCCATCCCATCCCAGCGCCGGGAGTGGTGAAGAGGGATGTTTCAGACTGGCCCTTGAAGCTGCAGCAAACTGCTATCAATCCCTCCCCGGTCATGTCAATAGCTCCATCGGTCATGAAATGCCTTGGAGCTCCGGTCAGGAAGGGATTCAAACAGACGCCCACCACGGCCCAAAAGTGTGATCGCAAATCACCACTCAAACACAGCGTGGTCACAAGAAGGGAAATTCACACGTTGGTCATGGCGAGGCGGCCCAGGCAAGCCATTGATCCTGGCTGAGACTCCTTTCTGGTCCCACCAAGTGGCCTGCCTACTTTTGGTCAGATCAAGATCGGGGAGATCCCTGGAGGATGCGACCTCTTAGAGGTCCATCTTGAAATGTCGGAGATCCGAGTTAATTCATCTTGCCGAGCACCCGCCCTGCAATCATACCCTTCCTTTGTTCCTGCGGCTGGCGTAGATACATCACCGCCCTGGTTTGAAGCTCACATGGAGCTGGCAAGGTGTTGCTGCCCACCGCCCACCCTTTCACATTTGTTGTAGCGTGCGAAGTCAAGGCAGCTGGGAGCACCAGTCCTCTTGCACCACTTCACCTCGGAAAAAAATATACTGACTCAGCAAATGCTCACAGCAACCAACAGGGTTCCGCCTCGTGTCCCGACATGATCCCAGCCCCCAAGTCGCCGGGCTCCTCTGTGTGGTTCCAGACATGTAGAGCCGGGAAGTGTAGGAAAATGAGTGACCGCTTTTGTGCGGAAGGGGCAAGTGAGGGAGATCCCAAGGACTGGACTTGGGGGACTGTGGACGCTGTAGGTGGACGGCATCTTGACGACACCCTCATGGGCAACACTTGGTGTGGGCAATCGGCGCTTCAGCGCAGGATTCAGTCCATGTGGTTGGGGGCTGAGCTGCGAGTGTGAGGATGCACGTTGCAGTGGATACAGGTGGGACTTCTACACCGAGGCCAAAACCAATGCCATTTTAGCACGTTGACACAACCCTGAAGCGGTCCGGGATCGAGCATGGGGCTGCTCACACCGGCCTGCGCCCGTTGACTTTCTGCTGGGGCTAAGCGCCAGCCAGCACAACCCAGATTCTGGGGCCCTACACTGTGCTACTCTGCAGCCAAGAGCACTCATGATTTGCAGGAATTCGGCGTAGCCCGCCTTCTCATTGCGAATCCCCGACCGCAAGAGGGTTTGCTGGAAAATCGTCCGCAGCCGTTCCAGGTGAAGGTCCTGATCTATCGAAGCAGCTCCCCGGCTCAACACTGAATTGCAAAATGCCCTCCAGTTGGCCGGGCCATTGGAACACAAACTCCAAGCCTATTTCATGACAAACTCCAGCCGAGCATCGCTGAGGCGAAGGCTTTTGCAAAGCATTCGTTTGATTTGATCAAACGAGAGTCTGCCAACACTGTCCTTCAGGCAACTTGGCAGGCTGCATGCAAGCATTTTGCGACCAAGGCATGTGGACAACATGCGGCTAACTTGAAAACAACCATGCTAGCACAAATGGAAAGGGCATAAAATGGCTCTCTCTCTCTCTCTCTATTGTATTCAATTGTCCGCACCTCGTCGGCCATGATGAACAAATCCCGAAACTGGCTTGCTTCAGCGTGTGAGAAGCCCAGTTGCGCGATCAACTCTGTCTGCCGCTCAAACCTGATCAACTCAGGTTCAACCACTGCCTGCAAGTCCCAAACAGCGAAATGTACTGACACATGCACTGATATAGACAATCCAAAATGTACAGTACGTACTCGAAAACAGTGGACTTCAACAGCAGTTTCCCTCAACTGCGCCTCACCAAGCTGCCCGACCTAAGGGTTTTGACCTAACACCGGGCCGCGAACTGCCCATGTTCTGAGAAGTTCCGCAAAGCCGCTCAAGCTGCTCCTGTTGATCCGTGATCTTCCGCATCACCACGAGGAAATCTGAGAAGCTTCGAGGGGCGCAGTCCTAGAGACCAAGGTGACACGATCTAACAAATTGAAATGAGGGGAGCACAAGGGATTCTCGAAACCTGCACTGCTACCGCAAAGGACACCATTTTTGGGCGTCTAAAGAAACCGCAAAGGCGGTGTGGCGCATGGCGAGTGAACCCCTTCCCAAGCAATCTGGTAGATTGATGTATAGCTATAGGCTATAGGCTATATAATTCAATATCGAGCCATCTCTCGAATAGTTTCAGTCTCGGTTGCCCTGGCAACAATCTTCTGATCTCTTTGGACGACGCTTTGCGTAGCTCCCATGTCACACGCCACATGAGCGACATGAGAGAAATTACCTGTTCGAATCAAGAGCAGTCACACCTCTTCCCTGCTCAGAAGTGAAAACCTCGTAAGCAAGCCCTATTGTTTTCAGGAGGTTCCTGCTGCAAATCCATAGCGCACTCATTCAGACTACCTCTGTCAAACTGTATGTTCCACTTTCGGTCCTCCTCCTCCTGCAACAGCTGGACTAGAAACGGTCGAAATTGCTTCGACCGTGCCTCAAGAGGGAACCTCAGAACCACAGCGCCAACTAAAACACCGGATGGGCATCTAAACGGCTAGAGGGCTGCCCTGCGACTATTCGCCTTGCAATCTTGAACTGAAAGCAAACCAACATGGGAGTCCGACAGAAAACGCCCAGGCACAAAACCTCGATGATCCCCACCAGTTCCTGCTTGGTGATGTGGCCATCGTGATCCTGGCGTCGGTCACAGCTACAAGGACCATGCAAACTCGTGTCGGGATGATGACAAGGCCCCTGGCCTGCGATGTTGAGTTTTCACGACCTACCCAAACCCTTTGGCAACGTCTCTTCACCACATCGAACAGCAGTTTGACTGTAGCTGAGGAGAGCTTGCTTGCCTTACTCCTTTCTGGCACTTGACAGTCAACCTTCTCCGCTCGCGAAGCCAAAACGAGTCCAACCCTCCCCATTCCTCATCAAAATTCTTGAAGAGCGAGTTGAGCTCAAAAACTTCTACAGACGTGAAGCCCTGGACCAGGGGTAGGGCACCAACTCAGCAAATGCAAATTACGTACCAACTCCACAGAATCAGATTGTGTGGAGGCACTCTTGCTCCTCAGGCGGCCTCTCATGGTGCTCCGAAGAGCTGTGAGTTTGTGGTCCCGTTGATTTGTCGCACTCGGAATGTTTTTGCAAGATTGCAGCCTTGGGCACGTTACACCGGTCTTAGGGAGAAATGCAGTGGGTCAAGTAAAAGAAATGAAGCATAGGCTTCGGAGAAAGCCACCCACCACAACAATCTGACCTCCGCCACCTTCAGTGAAGGAGGCCATCTTGCATCCCATAAAGCTGTCACTCTACATTCTCGAGTGATAAGGAGTCCGCTCGGGGCTGCTCCAAAAGTCTTGGTTCAAATTAAGACTCGCGCAACCGAGAAATACTTCGACAAAAAAAACCACTTCAACCTGTCAAACTTCCACAACTCAAGTGGTTGCCCGATTCCTGGGAGCTGGAACACCCCATTAAAAGAGCAGTTCAGGTGTCCATTCGGTGTGCCCAGCTGGGTGTTTCCGCCACTTGGACGCCAAGCGCATGATGCGGCCCTGGAACCCGGCGCACGCCGAGTTCCAGGTCCGACGAGGTCCAGCAGCTGGGGCTTCATGAAGCACTGAGGATGGGCCATGGCTGGTGAAGGACCAAAGGAGGATGGAGCCGTCCTGCATGGACACCACAATCTTCTGATGATCACCTGCCAATCGATAGGGAAATGAGAACGAATCTAAGTGTTGGTTTGACTGATATGTCTGTTGTTTTGAGATGATTCCGTTCTGTTTTCACAAGCTCGGGCTTTGCTTCAGCAGCTGTGACACACTCTCTGGATTCTCGCATCCTTGAACACGAGCCCTCGCCTGTCAACGAGGTCACCTCGGACTGGAGCGGGAGGTCGAGCTCCGCCATGACGTGCCAGTCACGTTCGAGACCCAAAGGCTTCAGTGCGTGCATTCTCACCTTGCCCTCTGCAACCACCGCAGCGCGGAAAGGATGTTCCTTGGTGGCGGCCAAGACCACGGCCATCTGCTTCCCATAGGTTGGAAGCGGGGGAAGATCCACGGAAGAGCAATGGAAGGTGCCACCTGCGGCAGTCATTGGGCAGGAAACCACAGCTCCAGAGCTTGTGTGAGCCAACAGCCCTTCATCTCCCCAACTGAGGCTTTGTGCCAAGCCCATCTTCATCAAGCCTTCAAGTGTGAAAGGCATCACGGTGCCGAAGCCACCTTCAGTGGATGGAGGAAGATAGGCGCCCATTCCACCTCGAGCCATTGCCACCATCCCTTCTGACCCACAGGCCAAGAGCTCTGGCTCCAAGCCAGCTGGCCACTGCAAGGCTGCTGGCACCACTGGGCGGACTGAGGTGGGCATCTGCTTCTCGCTCAAGCGACGGTGACCCCCACTGTCCAACCAACTGTGCTCTCCAGTGTAGACGCGCGCGTAGTGGATGACTCCATTGAACCAAGTGTTCTTCCCAACCCCGGCAGCTCCCACCAAAGGCTCAGGACCTTCTGCCTCAGACCAATGCATATCTGCCTCAGGATGGAATCCAAACATATCGCTGGCCCAGATCTCTTGTTGCCCTTGCGGCCCCCAGCCCTTCTGCCAAGCGAAGTGTCCTGCAGGGTTAGGGGGTCCCAAGTCGATCTCCTTATCACACGCAAGAAATCTATTAAATTATGTCAACTGCTCAAGCAAACTCAAGTCCTCTCATTGGTGTGACGTGAGCGTAGTGCTTGGATGTAATGGGGCCACTTTCCCATCCATACCATCGGCCAGCGCGGCTCCAGGGAGGAGCCCCAGGGTTTTGCACCAACATCCTCTCGCCCATGACACATTCAACCACGCGGCCAGTCAGCAACACAAACCAACTCAGTGCTGTGATAATCAGCAAGGTCCGAACGTAATACCATGGAGTCATGTCCACATTCACCATGGGATCCTCTTGCACGTGGTCGTGATCACGTGACTTTCGTTCCTTCTCCAGTTGTTTCTCGACCTTTGGAGGTGCCACCAAGTAAGAGACTGTCTGGAAGGCGGCAGGCAACCAGATAGGGCTCTCGCAAGAAGCAGCTTGGTTGAAAAGCCGGTTGTCTGCTTCACGAGCCTGTTTGATCTCAGGCTCACCATTCCCAGGCTGAGACACCACATAGAAACGGATGGTCTGGCCAATCTGCATCAGGAGCACCACAATGGCCACCGCCCGGGAGATATCGAGGACCTGTGAGGTTGGATGGTGCGTATATGCCAAAGCCAAGGAGATGGTTTCGATGAAAGGCCCTCCGAATTCAATCGGGAAACAACCACCATGTGAAGGGAGCACATCCATGCGGAACATGATCCAAATGGCTGCAACCAAGCAAGAGCAGCAGACTGTTGCACTCCACACCAAGCCCAGCTCCGCGATACAATGGATGGGAAGCCAATAGGCGAATGATTGGATCAAGTGCATCTTTCCAATCCTGGGCTGCTTGTCGTTTGTTAGTGCGACTCTTCGGTGGATCTTCTCATGAAACCAAGCTGAAACAAGCCCAGGCACAAGAAGGTCACACGAGCATATGCTTCTGCGCACCAGTAGTCCTTCTGAGCTTGGCGGATCATCTCGAAGTGCTCATAGGGCTCAGGAGGCGCTTCGTTCCCAAAAGCGCTTGGAGAGGCTTTCGGCAAGTCATCACGCGCCTCGATCCGTGTGGCTCTTTGCGTCGAGCTCACGCGATCGCGGGAAAAAGCTCTCGACTCTCGACTCGTTGCGTCATTTTTAGGGCATGCAGGCTATGCAGGACTGAGCAGAACGAGCACAAGCAACACCAATCTCGCCAAATGCGCTTTCTTTACTGCCCCTAATCAATCACACTTCAAGCCAACAAACAAGCCTGCCCTGCAACAAGAGGGGGATGTTTATCATGTGTTGGATGCACGTGGAGCAAACACATGCCCTGCAAATGCCTCAATCTCCTTCTCCACCCATGAAGGGGCACCGGTGGTGAAGCCAGGCATTCGTGCAGCATGACCGATTTCCTTGATGTCTCCGCCCGTCTCAGTATGAAGATCTTTCCTCGGCACGTCAGGTGACTGGTTCAGGGATGCCAGGGTGCTGGCGGAACATGTCACAAAGCCTTGAAGGACCAAGAGTCACTTTTCCCTTCATCTTGGCAGCCATACCTCGTGTAATATCCAAAGACTTCACCAAGAGACAACGGACCACCAAGCATGAAAGGCATACTTACGTAAGTAAGATCCTTCTCCCCACCTGGTAAGCCGCCTTTCTTGTAGCTGCCCTTCAGCTCCTCTTTGGATTCTTCATCCTTCTCGACTGGAGCATCACCACCTTGCGGCATCACGAAGGGCAGGCGGAAGATGTCATAGACGCCCTGCTCCTTTCAAGCCAACTTCACGTGAAATGGTCTGAAAATCGAGAAACATAGCCCCACTGAGCCTATGAACAAACGCCGCCACATCAACAAAATACACTCACAATGTGTGCCCGTGGTTCTTCCCCTCACTGCCTCATGGTGAGGCTGGTGTTTTAACCAATGAAACCGAAGTTTCCCATTCTTGTATGGTTCCTGGTGTAAGGTCTGTTGTCGCTATCTCTTTTGCTGTTCGGCTTCGTATTGATGCAAAGTCCGGACGCGTGCTAAAACCCAAGACCACCGGTTCATTCCAAAATTGAATGGAATCCCATGCTCAGCTACAATGGCTTGCGGGTCCAGTTCTCAGTCCTCACCCACATTAAACTCATCCTGTAGAAACTGATTGGCATGGCCCGATCCTCGTAGCTCGAGAGGATTTTTCGTGCGCTGTCCAGCTGCCTCTGCGTGGGGACGGGCAGGCGAACATGGCGCGTCCTCAGCTGCACCATGGCCACCTCAGCGGCACCGCTGCGAAAATCTGGCATCACCTGCAAGGCCTTCCACCCAACAAAAACACCACCTGAATCGGACACATACACCACTCCTACTTTGGCTATGAACTTGTGGGCCGAAAGTCGCTCAAGCGGCTGTCCCGAGGCAGGACGCTTTGGTCATTGCAAGGAGTTTGTCAATCTGTGTGTAGCGAATGGTGTTCCTTCCACTCGTGTAAATATGTGTCATATTCATACCTGTGCACATACATGCATACATGCATACATGCATCCATGCATCCATGCATCCATCCATCCATCCATCCATCCATCCATCCATGAATACATACATACATACATCACATCACATCACATCACATCACATCACATCACATCACATCACATCCCATCCATATATACATATGTTTGAGAGATGGAGGACCATCCCCACAAAAGGGAAGCAGCAACCCGAGTTTTGACCAGTGTGACAGCCTGAGCCCGCATGGCCGCATGCCAGCAGAGCCAAATGGAGAGTGTCATCCAGGCGAAGGCAACTCCCAAGCAATTCCTTAGCCAACAAATGAAGGTGAAGCTTCAGTTCTCAAGCCTTGCCTTGGAATTGAAATGATTGAGAGATGGTCCACGTCCTGCCATGTGGTAGAGGTAATAGCTAGAGGTAGCTAGTAGGAGCTAGGTAGCTAGTAGCTACAAGAACGCTACTACCTTGGGCGCAGGATAGCTCACGCTTCAAGGAAGCTTGCTTGAAGAAGCGCTCGCACTAATGATTTGGTTCCTGCTTTTTTGGGAAACTTAAGGAAAGTGAATCAGTTCGCCACCACTTTTTGCGAGCGTCAGATACAGACCAGAAGCGAAGGTCGGTGGCCCAGGGAACTTCAACCCAGAACCTTGGATCTCTGAGAAGGCATGCACTGTCGCAAGACTGTTACACTGATCCTTGCTTTCATTGTCTGTTGTCTGCCGATGGTTTGGCTCCACATTGTACCGGGTTATATAAATCTCCCAGCTTTCATTGTCAAGACCAGAAACGTGCTTCCACCAAGACGGTCAGCACATATCCCAAGCTCATCGTAAGGACTGGCACGTACACCTTCAACTTGCTCACTGACACAGAGGCAAGATCGGACACATCCTCTCCTTAGCTGTGCTGTCGGTCCAGGAAAGTATCAAGGTTGAAGCCGTCTGACATATTCTGCGTTTCCTTGGGGTTGGCCCATCCCTTTGGCCGGGGAATGAACCAGTCGAAAGAAACATCCGAGACTGGTAACCAGCCAAGACTCTGAACATGGCGAACCTTTTAAGTTCATTCGCCCGGCCTGCGGTGTAGCGTGCCCATCGTTGCCCTTGGTCGAGCTGATAGTTCGTGCGGTTATAGCCAAAGCCGAAGATGCTCACCTGCTTTACCAGCTCCCCTCCGCCCAACATCTCGCTCCCTTCAGGGGCGGATGGCGCCTAATTAAGCTGGGCGGTCTCAAAGATCTAGCCCCAAAAACAAGATCTTGAGCCTCTTCAGCAGCGGTTCTTGCAGCAGTGTTGTCACAGCTGTCAGCTTAGGCCATTGCTTCCTGCTGACTTTTTGGTGAGTCAAACGACCTCTCTCTGACCAAGAAGCTGTAGCGTTTAGCAGTTTAGCACGCCTGGTTCTTGCGGAGGGTCACCAGAGAGGACTTTTTAAATCGTTCAATGATGCCCAAAAAGACTCGAAGGTCGGCCCCCTCCATCTCGCCTGGACATGCTTTCAAGTTGGAACGCTGCAAACTTGCAGAGAACCAAACGCAAACATTGCAGGACCCCGTTTCCTCTTGAGGACTTCTTTTCGACACAATGCACCAAGAGAAGGAATGGCTGGAAGCATCCCAGGCCTATTAGCTACCCATTTGTGCCCATTTGCGCCGATCCTCTAAGAGGGCCCCAGGGCTCCAGGCCGTGACTCCGGCGTGGGAGACGGCCATCCGCATCCACCAAGCCGAGCGCTTGAAAGGCATCACTCTGCTGCTCCATGTCCAACAGGCCCTGCAAACTGCGATCTCCACAGCATGGCCATTGAAGGAGAAGGATCAATGAAGGATGGCAACATGAAACTAGTGGACAGCGAATGCAGAAATGCTCAGCCCTCCCACCCTCCAAGTACTGCAAGGGAGCTCACTTCTTCTTGCAGGTTGGTTGTGTCACTGGTCGTTTCCTCCAGTGTCAGTTTTGTCTTCATTGACTTGCATCTCCAACCTCACCTTCGCAACCGTGTAATATAACACAGGTGTGGGTGGGTGGGAAGAAAAACATTAGAGGTCTCTCCTTTTGAGCCCAGCTCAACAGGGAGCGCATTCAAGACCCTCCCCCCTATACATGCCTATCAGTTCATTCTGAACTTCTTCGACGGCGAGTGCAGAAATGCTCAGCCCTCCCACCCTCCAAGTACTGCAAAGGAGCTCTTTCCTTTTGCAGTTTGGTTGTGACACTGGTCGTTTCCTCAGGTGTCAGTTTTGTCTTCTTTGACTTGCATCTCCAACCTCTCTGGCTATGATGCCGCCAGTTTCCTCGTGCACTTCTTGCATTTCCTTTGCGAACTGGTGAGGTGGGAGTTGAGGATCACCTTCGTGGAATTCCTGCTGAAAGGCCAACCACAAACAGATGTCCACGTTTCAATGAGTTCATCCCATCCAGCATCTTCGACTTGGTGCCAAACTCTCTCCCTTGAACTGTATGCCGTTGAGGCGACCCACAATTTCTTGGGCATTTCGGTGACTAAGATGTCCTGCACCTTCTCGTTCATTTCTTCTGCCTTCTGTTCCAGCTCCTTTGCTGCCAGACGCCCATCAAGAGGTCCCGGACTTTCTTCTTTCACATCATGCAGGACTCTTGTAGCGTCCTTTCCCTACTTCTTGGGCTTCGCGTCTTCCGTCACCCTCAAGCCTCCGTGGGCTCTGTATGGAGAGCATCCTCCGCATAGGTCAACACCACCGAAGACTTCCATCTTCCCAACAAGGCCAGTTCCTGAATGGGCATTCCGAGTCTCACATAGCCCATGGCACCACTGCGTCTTGCTGAGTGGCCCTGCATTTCAGGACATGTAAACGTGGCCCATCCTTCTAACCATTTTTGCCTTGGAGAGCTTCTTGCCCTCTGAGTCCTGGAAGGCGAACTCTTGAGGTGATGTGTCCTCTTCTCGGAAAGCTTTCCAGAGTTCCAACCACAGCTTCCAGGGGCACCATTTTTGGCATGTCCTCGCTGAGCAGCATTGCAACGTTCTGCGCACGCCAAGTCCCTGTTGGTCACACTTGGAGACGGGGATGTATATAGACACTCGTTTCTTGTTCCAATCGACCATGATGTCCTTCCATCTCATTGCACTCACTTCAATTTCCCTCAACATCCAAATCACTGCCCATGCATAGGATAGAGTTGGCCTGGAATCAACTTGATGTGCTTGATGTCCTCCAACTTGTATTCAGGATCCCTCTTGGCTGGCCCCCGCTTCCTCTTCAGCGATCTTTCGCAGTCCGCCATCCACTTGTTCAGGTGTTGGCTCACTTCCCAGCCGGCCTCAATGTGCATCAACTTCAACTCGTTGATGTATTGGTCTCCCGAGGCCCAACTGACCGCTTTAATGGCAGCTGCCACCTTCTCTACCGTCTCCGTAGCCAAAGGGAAGACCCTCTTGTTGAGTCCACACGCTTCCTGCGCCATCATCAGGACTTGTTCCCTCTTTGTTCTCTGTGAGGCTCTCGAAGTTTTGGCCATGAAGTCATCTTTGCAACTCCTGTCTGGCCTTCATTAGTCGTTCTTTGCCCTTCAGGATGCCCATGACTTCCTCAAACGACCCCCTCTTCGCACGCCTCACACTTCCATCTTCCTGCGCCACCTCTCACAGGTTTTCACCCGCTTGCCTTTCGTCACGATGGCCTCGAATTGCACGCTTATCTCCTTGTCTGCATGCACTCTCTCTCTCTCTCTCTCTGTCTCTCTCCCTCTCTCTCTCCAATTAAGTTATTCACGCACTTCAAGGGTCCCCGACGCCAAATCCCAACACTCCCAGTGTTCTCTGAGTTCTCACTGTAGTCGAGATCCACGTCGCAGCTCATGCTGTGACCTTGACTTTGCCCTTTCCCTTGATGGTGATCTGCATCTTCCTTGCCTCTCCAACTTCACAGCCCATGCTTCTAGCGGCCCTTGTGGAGCTGACTCTTTCCATGGCACTCCCAGCAATTTGGCATCCTCTTCTTCCAACGGGATCTCCAAGCCTTCGATGATGGTGAACGTAGGCCCCATACTGTGGTCCGGCTACTTCTGCCTTGGGTTCAACTCCACCTCAAAAAACTTGCAAGCTCGACCAGAAAAGTGCTCAAATCATTCTGGGGCGTGTTTCCAGGCCAAGAACCACCCCCTTGGCAACTCCATCCGCTTGGCCGCGATCAGTCCCACGCTTTGCATCGGCCAGCGCCGCATACATGATGGAGACCGCCCACCTGGACCTGGGCAGGATGACAGCCATGAGAGGCGGCCGGTCCTTGAAGCTGACCATCCCTTTAGTTTCCCAGCTCTCCAGCGTCTGCTTGATCTCAGCCATCATTTTCTTTAGCGCTGTCAATTTCACCACCGCTACTGCTTGCGCGACCTCGAACATGACCCCGATCCAGGACAGTTGTGTACCCCTTGAACCTTTATGCCAGGCCACGTTGATTCCGAGTGCCCGCACCGTGCATAGCAGCAGCGCCAAGTTCCTGTTCCTTCGCAAGGTCGGACCGCGTAGAATCCACATATGATCATAGATGTAGAGCTGGCTTTGCATTTCAGAGGGCGCAATGAGGACTGCCAAAGACGGGCCAGGCAAGCTGCGAACCTGCCCATCAATAACGGTGCCCCCGGAACCCAAATAGCATTGCCACAGGGTCTCTGACTGATGTATTCCCGGGCTGAGACAGTTTGCTCTTCGGGATGTACCGGCAGGTGGCAATAGGCGTCACTCAGGTCCGCCGTCACCAGCCAAAGACGTCCAGCTCCCATTTCTCGTCCCTCGACTTGATCTTCATCCGATCTCTTGTAATTATTCCACAATAACTACCTGAAGCTGTCTATGACATCCACGACCCTGCAGAGAACTATGCGTTCCGGCACCCGACAACGAGCATTGCCGCCTGACCGCAGAAGGTCTATGACGCTGCTCCTTTTCACACTGCCGTCGTCCTTGGTCTTGATCAGTAATGCCAACTTTGAGACAACGCCTCGTTCGTGAGAACCGCTCGCGCCTTATCGGGAGGACCACCGCAAAGCCTTCCTCCACCGATCTGCCCAACTCTGCTCTTGCACGCACTGGCTCCCAGAGTTTGCCCGGTCTGGATGTCCCTCCATATCCGGCCTGCCCTCGGACCTATACTTCCTTGCTACTTCCAGTGCCCTCAAATACGCCACTATGAACCTATTCCAAGCTGGGTAGACGTTCTATATACACAACCGGTCATTCTCCTCCTTCTTTGACCAACCCAGTTGAGGTCTCATGTCATGAGTGGCCTGAGTTTGTTCCCACACTCTCTTTGATGGATCCGCTGTGGGTTTACCTTCAGGAGGTCCCTGGTAGATGCGATCCTTGCTCTCCAACCATTTGCGCTTGAGACACCTCCTCCTCCTTTGCGTGAGCTTATTCCTCCAGTACTCCAACTGGAGAGTGTGCTTAAACGCCGTGATGAGCAACCTGCAATACTCCTCACACAGCTTCCTGGGGTACTGCGCTGCTTTGGACGTCTTCTTGGAGCCTACCGAAGGTTCATGTCTGATCCACTGTCCACATGTACATGGCTTTGACAATTTCTCCAAGTCCAACAAGCGTCCCGCCCATCTCCGAGGCTTGTGCCACCTCACACGCTCCTTGAAACTGCAAGTGTTGAAGTCAGCCACATGTGCCTCAAACGCTTCTAGGGACGCCTTGACCTCCGGCAGCTCCTTCTTCCTGCGCGTCGGACCCCGGCGGATTCTCCAAGGTGCCCGCCTGAAGCACTCCGCAATCTTAAGTTCTCTGGTCCTTTAGGATGGCGCCGATGATTTCCACGAACCTGCACGCTAGCAACGTTCCCGTGTCTGCCATCTGCTGCTCCTCGGGCGAGTTGGACGGCAGCCCAGGCAGCCCATAGATATGTTGCAATGATCTCACAGGTGGAGGCCTCGATGCGACATGTTCCATCTCGCTCGACTAAAGGTGTTGCACGCTTCCGCTTCCTCCTTCAGCTCCTTGAAAGGATGATCTTTTGCTAGGTCCACATCGCCTTCCTTCATCCTTTTGTCAAGGCTGTATATCTCCACCTGCAAGCCTTCCTTCTCGGCCATCGAGCTCGCCATGACCGCCCGCAGACATGCGCGTCCCCGACCTCGCCTCGAACCCACGCTGCCGCCGAAGCACGTTCTGTTCATCCGTCCGAACGGTTCCGACGACGAAAACCGGGTTTCGAAAAGCGAGTGCGACCCCAGTCTCCGTCCCCCGTACGCTTCCCTTTGACTTAACCAGCACACCCATCCCTCGACGCCCGCGCATCTGTCCCCTCACCCTCTTGTCTCCCTGCAAGAGGCCAGCTGCGCCCTTTCTCCCACAGCTCC